AAATGACCGCCAGGTGGCGCAAAGGGACATTTATCAAAACGTAAGTGGGGCTAATGTCAATTAACAACAGTAAGGATGAAATTCTACAAGTTATGGTAATTTACAAATAAGCCTACAACAAACATTTATTTTTAAACAAATATTTTTAAATATGCAACATGCACGTTTAAACAACAAACAATACAATCTGAACCAGCGCTCCTGTATTGAGACATGCAGCGCGTTTCAGTTACGATCCTGGTTCCAGTGGCCTTAATACATTCACGGCTTTTTAAAATGTCACAAAGCGTTTTGAGATGGTTTTGAATGAAATATTGAAGTTTATAATTAGGGTATTTTGGCACACCACGCCGAGTGGCTATGCATTATTCTAAAATCTGGCTTTATTCTGGCATGTTGAATTAGAGTTTGACAAACGCGGCGGCGCGTTCATTTGGATTTATTTTTCTCATAACAGCTAAAAGAACTTACTGCGTAATTGTTGGTCATACAGATAAGATATCATCTTTTAAAACTGTAAAAGGTCTACTTTTATTCATGTAGGTAGGCTAAAGTAGGCCTACACTCACACAGGCTAACGACAAAACGTTTTCTCGCTCATGTGAGAAACAAACGTTTGGGCATTTCTCAGTGAGGAAATTAATAGCCGAGCGGTAGAACTTACGGTTCATCATCAAGATGACACGGGTTCAAATCCCGATCAAACATGGTCTACTGCAAATTTTATATTTATTAATGCAGAGAGATTTGTCTAGCTCTAAAACTCTGTTACGCCATACAGTTTTTTGGTTATATTTATAAAATAAAATTACCATGCATTTCCATTTTACACTAGGAACAATAGTATCGAACACAACGACGTTGCATCTGTACCAATCGTACGAGGCTACCAATCGTAATTTCAAAAGCAGTTCTGTAAAAAAAGTAATTTTACATATATAGCCTATATATATATATTTTTTTTTTTATTAGGCCTATTATTATTATTATTATTTTGATTCCCTACAACCTAGAGTTTTTAAAAACATGGTTTTAAGTAAAGTGTGATTTGCCAGAGGGGACGGGGATTTCCTTCTGGTCTAAACATCCCTGCTTCTGCTGAATTATTTGAATCCCCACACCCCTCCCTCCACAGTAATCAATGCTATAGGCTACTTCACCAATAGACCATATCAAATATAAAATAGAGATATGCAACAAGCACGTTTAAACAACGACAAACAATAAAATCAAAACCAGCGTTTCAGTTGTTCATTAGTTCAAGTGGCCTTAATGCATGCACGGCTTTTCAAAATTTTACAAAGCGTGTTGAGATTATTTTGAATGAAATATTGAAGTTTATAATTAAGTGTTTTGGCAGACCACGCCGAGTGGCCCTATGCATTTTTCTAAAGTCGGGTTTTATTCGAACTTTTGCTAACGACAAAAACAGTTTATCTGTCGTCTCTGTCTCCGGGAACTGCGCGTCACAAAAATGAACCGAAGCCACTTCAGCTCAGTCACTATAAGAAATCGGCTCTGTCTAAAGCCTTTAAATGTCTAAATATTCTGGCTAATAAATGTTATCTGATTATGTAATCCATATGAAAACGAGAGGTACAGAGGATGTACTCAAACATGTAGCCTGTAAGCGCTTCCCAATGAGAAAATGACAAGGGTGAAAATCTCGCTCTAATTAAATGTAGCAGGCTAAATCGCCCTGAATTAAAATGTAAAAACAGATCAAATAATGTATTTGTCGAAATGTTGCGATATTGTTTCATTTAAGTTCATAATTATTCAATACATGTTATTTAATTTAGCAGCATTACCACAAAGCACCGTGGTTCGATATTTATTTGAATAAAAAAATAAAAAATAAAAAACTTAATTCACAAATTGCATGCCTGGTTGAAAGGATCCAAAGATCCATGTAGACTTTAATATTGAGTTGAACATTTTGTTCATGAAAACAAATTAACATGCGTTTTTTTCAGATTATATTTAGTTTTGCTTGGAAAAAGCTGGCCCAAACCAGTTTTATTTCATCAATTACTGAAATAATGAAATATTTAGTAATAAACTTTTATGATAGAAATATCACTAGGCTACATGTAACTAAATCATTTAATTCCTTCATTATCAACACTGTCTAGAATAGCGATTTAAGTGTGAATTGCGACTTCTCTTTGTGTTAAGTCAGCCTCAGACTCCGATAGCCTGTGGGGGGTTGGAGGGACAGTTCAGTGCTGTATCGAGCGCGCAGGACAATAGGCATAGGTGTTAATGTTCCTCTTTCATATGGAGAGCGAGGGAGACTAAATAAACTTGTTAAAAAGAGATTCAGCGCGAGAGAGGCAAAGAAAAACGCATGTTTTAATTTAATTATGTTGCTTTGGACAATTTTCGTTTTGTAGGCCTACTGTTTTAATTGTTTAATATAGCTGTCATTTCTTTGGCAATACAAATTTAAAATGTCGCAAGAATAAGATTAGCCTAGTGTTTCTTATTTTGCATCGCAAAAGAAATAAACTCTAAACCCGATGCAACCCTGTTTTAAATTAAAAAAACTGTCCCGACACTTTATTTAAACCTTGAAATGTTCGAACTTGGTTTCAAACTTAAGTAATTTTAGTGTTCTTTTACATTACACAATAATTTAGCAGACTAAAGACGTGCTTCTTCATTTTCATTTTCTGATGCAATCGGCTGACAATCTTCCTTCATCAGTTTTTGTCGTTTGTGCAGCGGCTGCGGTTCTACAGGAATGTAGCAAATTTATGTTGTAATAATAATTAAACAAAACTCTTGACTTTAAATAAGTAAACAGTTATAAACAGTTAGCTATTTAAGCATCAAGAAGGTAAAATATAAACGCTGTTGGCCAACATCTACCACTGAGCTATCGTCTGTACGTCTGTAAATGTTTTTATTGCAATGTTTTACTTTTTCATTATTTATTCAATTTCATTTCAGTAGCCTAATTTCAGTATTGTGATTATGAATTATTTTAACTATACGTTTCACTTGTTGAATTCATCTGCTACCAGCTTTCAATCGCTCTGAATCAGTGCGGTGCGGCAGCAGATTACGCATTAGAGAGAATAAACAAACACTTTTCAGAGTCTATGATTGTAGCGCCTCTTGGCGGTAAAAGGCAGCAAATACACCCCACATTTTACCGCCGCGGTGGAACGGCTGATGTGGGCATTGTCATGGCTTGCCTCAACATTTGCGTTTGAATAGCGCGCGTCCTCCGTGGGCGTGTCAGATTAACGCGTAATGAAGTGTAATGAGCTGGGGAAAAAAAATCTGACAGCACTCTCTTTTCGTACAGATTACATAAACTGAGAATATTTGTTTTTTATATAAATTACATCATTGAAAAGAAGAGAATTCAAGCTTCATAAAGAAAAATCTCTCGTGCCTGTATGACAAGTATTTGCAGAGTTAGAGTTAATTTTTCGGACGTGTTTCAGAATGGACTGCACTGACAGAGAGAAGGCAAAACTCGCATCATGTTTATTTTTCTTTATTTGACAAAAAGCACAAAACTTTGTTTTTATTGTGAGTATACAGAAAAATAATAGACAATTAACAAGATCGATTGATGTATAACACTTATATGTACGATCAAAATCAACAGAGTATTTTAAGTCTATTTTTCTGCTATGTGAAAAAAAAACGGCAAAACGCGCGGGCGCGTTTCTGGTCCCCAGAGGGTTAACCCTCTGGGGTCCTTCGCCCCAAATGGACCCGAAGCATTTACATTTTTTTTTTTAAAATCATAGCTTTATCGGAATGGTCCGAAATTTGGTGACTTTGTTGGTACTTGGTATATGAACACCCCAAAAAATTGAGGACAGGATTTGAATAGTCTAAGTGGTTGTAAAAAAAATGGTCACACTCAGGACCTTCGGGTCCAAATGGACCCGCATAGGAAATGAATGGGAAATTGGCAAAAATGTGAAAATACAAAGTTATTTTGTGCGTACAATCTACAAATCAGCCGCGATCCAGAAAAAAAGCACACAACAGTGAAGGGGTGAATCTATAAAACATCAAGAGTGCAAAACAGACACATCCACACACACACACACACACACACACACACACACACACACACACACACACACACACACACACACACACACACACTTTTATACACATACACACTAATAAATTCAGATTACATATGGGTTTTGAATTTTTTAAATGCTCAGTTTGTCCACCAGATGGCATCCATCTCATTTCAAAAATTGCTTTCATGAGGCCTAGGCTTGACTCTAAAATGAAATACAGCTTTAAAAAAAAAAAATATATTATATTCAATGGGGAAAAAATGGGTCATAATTATTGCATTAATATTAATTATAAATCTTTTTTTTTTTTTTGAAATTATCTCAAAACACCAAAAAAGAAAAGAAAAAATATTATAAAAAACAAGTAAAAAAAAAAAGATGTTTTTTTAAAAATAAATATTAGTCCCACCCTTCCGGCCCATTCGGACCCGAAGGTCCTGAGTGTGACTCTGAAATGAAGGATCCCAGAGGGTTAATGTTCAGTTATGTTTATGTGTGGTTATAGTTGTGCTGAAGAGAAGAATTGAGGTTATGATGGTTATAACTCTGGTTAACTCTGCTGTTTGATGTTTCATTCAATAATATCTGTGCTAATATCAGTTCAGTGACAAACTAAATATCCGTTTCTAAAATTAATGGTGCACATATGAACGGCACCACAAAGTCGTAAATAAAAGTGGGAAACTCGGGAGTTTATCTGATATTCCAAGTTGGATGTGAGAAAATATGGTGGACACAATAGATCTGTGTTTACAATAAGACTATAAGTCGCATGTACACTATACAATAGTATTGTCCATTTATGATAGAATATAGACCAATTTATGAGTGAAAAAGGTCAATCCTACACTCATTTTTTTCAGTGAAGCTGCATTGAAGCCATCTGTATTGCATGAAGTGCTTTATAAATGAACTTGAGTTGTGTCTTCCTCTCTGTAGCTGAGGATCGGCATCCACTCCGGCTCAGTTCTGGCTGGAGTCGTCGGAGTGATGATGCCTCGCTACTGTCTGTTTGGAAACAACGTCACGCTGGCCAGCAAGTTTGAGTCGGGCAGTCACCCGCGCTGCATCAACGTCAGCCCCAGCACATACCAGTGAGAACACACACACACACACACACACACACACACACTCCGCTGATGTGTAACTCTGCTGCAGTGGAGACAGTCACACCTGTTTCTATGGCAACCTGCTTCTGTCGAGATCGTTAAGGATGATACTCTGCAGTCAAGTGCAGCTCTGAAGATCTGCTCACACACACACACACGTGTTTCAATATGCACCAATGAACACCTGTTTTTGTAGACATCTACACTCAACATGAAAAATGATGATTAGATGAACACACACTCATGTGCACGCTTACACACACTCGACATCAAGCACAGAGATACACCCACACATGGACACACTTATGTGCATATAAAACACACACACACAAACACACACACACACACACGTGCACGCTTACACATACTCGACATCAAGCACACACTTTTGTGCATATAAAACACACACACACATGCACGCTTACACACAGTAAACATCAGGCACACATGCACACACTTATATGCATATTAAACACACACACACACACACACACATGTGCACGTTTACACACACTCGACAGAGAACATCCAAAATACAGTTTTGTGTTTGTTTTATCGCACTTCAACCATGTGCATCTGCAGATTTCAATGGCGATACAAATCTTTAATGGCTATCTATCCATCATAAAAGCACATCTATCCATCATAAAAGCACATCTATCCATCATAAAAGTGCATCTATCCATCATAAAAGTGCATCTATCCATCATAAAAGCACATCTATCCATCATAAAAGTGCATCTATCCATCATAAAAGTGCATCTATCCATCATAAAAGCACATCCATCCATCATAAAAGCACATCTATCCATCATAAAAGCACATCTATCCATCATAAAAGCACATCCATCCATCGTAAAAGCACATCCATCCATCATAAAAGCACATCCATCCATCATAAAAGCACATCTATCCATCATAAAAGCACATCCATCCATCATAAAAGCACATCCATCCATCGTAAAAGCACATCCATCCATCATAAAAGCACATCTATCCATCATAAAAGCACATCTGTCCATCATAAAAGCACATCCATCCATCGTAAAAGCACATCCATCCATCATAAAAGCACATCCATCCATCATAAAAGCACATCTATCCATCATAAAAGCACATCCATCCATCATAAAAGCACATCCATCCATCATAAAAGCACATCCATCCATCATAAAAGCACATCTATCCATCATAAAAGCACATCTATCCATCATAAAAGCACATCCATCCATCGTAAAAGCACATCCATCCATCGTAAAAGCACATCCATCCATCATAAAAGCACATCCATCCATCATAAAAGTCCATCCATCCATCATAAAAGCACATCCATCCATCATAAAAGCACATCCATCCATCATAAAAGCACATCCATCCATCGTAAAAGCACATCCATCCATCATAAAAGCACATCCATCCATCCATCATAAAAGTCCATCCATCATAAAAGCACATCCATCCATCATAAAAGTGCATCCATCATCATAAAAGTCCATCCATCCATCATAAAAGCACATCCATCCATCATAAAAGTCCATCCATCCATCATAAAAGCGCATCTATCCATCATAAAAGTCCATCCATCCATCATAAAAGTGCATCCATCCATCATAAAAGTCCATCCATCCATCATAAAAGTGCATCCATCCATCATAAAAGTCCATCCATCCATCATAAAAGCGCATCTATCCATCATAAAAGTCCATCCATCCATCATAAAAGCACATCCATCCATCCATCATAAAAGTCCATCCATCCATCCATCATAAAAGCACATCCATCCATCATAAAAGTCCATCCATCCATCATAAAAGCACATCCATCCATCATAAAAGTCCATCCATCCATCATAAAAGCACATCTATCCATCATAAAAGCACATCCATCCATCATAAAAGTCCATCCATCCATTATAAAAGCACATCCATCCATCATAAAAGTCCATCCATCCATTATAAAAGCACATCCATCCATCATAAAAGCACATCCATCCATCGTAAAAGCACATCCATCCATCATAAAAGTGCATCCATCCATCATAAAAGCACATCCATCCATCATAAAAGTGCATCCATCCATCATAAAAGCACATCCATCCATCGTAAAAGCACATCCATCCATCATAAAAGTCCATCCATCCATCATAAAAGTCCATCCATCCATCATAAAAGTGCATCCATCCATCATAAAAGCACATCCATCCATCATAAAAGTGCATCCATCCATCATAAAAGCACATCCATCCATCATAAAAGTGCATCCATCCATCGTAAAAGCGCATCCATCCATCATAAAAGCACATCCATCCATCATAAAAGTCCATCCATCCA